CTCCCTCCCTCCCTTCCCCCTCTCTCTCTCTCGATGATGATGATGATGAATAACGTACTGTCTGGAGGATAATGTTCCGGATCTTCCGTGAGAAAATCCATTTTGTCCTTCAGCTTGCTGTCGTTCATATTTTCTTCCATGTATAATTTTCCCGCAGCATCCCACATCTCTGCTGCTTTCACGCGAATTTCCGGTAGCTCGTCGTGCATTCCAGTCATAATCAGAGGAAGAATTTTGTACCACCAGCTGTATCTGTCAGGCAGCTCTGTCAACCAATGGCCTGACACTTGGACTACAGCTTTATAAATTGCATTGGATTATACAGAGTCGCGCGAAAGAAATCAAGACGAAATAACGATAAAAAGGAGAGAAAGAAGAGTAGCGACACACCACTATATACTATTTTATATATATATATGTATGTGTGTGTGTGTGTGTGTGTATATATATATATAATAGTTATACGAACCTTTTCTAACGATTCCACTTTGATCAAACAATCTCTGCGCCAGAGAGGTCGCGACTTCCTCCATTGATTTGCTATTTCCATAGCGTATCACATCACCTATTGTTTCAACAGCAGCAAGCCGTACTCTGTAATGCTGATGCGTAAAATTGCTCAAGATAGGCTTGATCAAGTGTTCTGACTGCGAATACAGATGCCTCGGTAAAGTCTTGACGTAGTCCGATATACACTTGCAACTCTCCTTTTTCACGTTTGGATAACTGTCTGTGACAGTGTGCGTCACTATCGCTGTTATATCTGGAATATACGGCGCCAACAAATCCTTGTATTTGAGTATTATGACTCGTAAAAACGACACGTACTTTAAACGTACTTCCTCCGACGGCTCAATCTGTTCCTGTACGCCTAAGCGTCTGGACATTATCGGTATAATGTAGATGATGTGCTTGTCGTCAGGCGGCAGAGCTTCTAGAAATATCCTCAGAATTCCCACAGTCAGATCTCGACAGATCTCCGCCTTGTCATTCAAAATTCTCACCAGATATCTATGCACACTCTCCCATATTCGAGCCAAAACGTCGACTCTGCTCGACGTTTTTTCGCGAGATATATTCTCGATTATCTCTTCCAACGCTTGTTTGCGACGAGTCTTTTCGTCTGCTTGCAACGAAATGGTAATTTTGCTCAATTCAAGATCCAATGCCATGTTATTTCGGTTTTACTCTAAAACTTAAGATGACGGAACGACATAGAGACACGTGTAAAATTGAAGCGTGAACCTTATACGAAATTGTCCTATATAATGCAGCATACACAGAATACAATAGAGAATCATCATCCGAGGCAAACACAACGCGTCTCCATGACAACACTATCTTTACATTCAGCTAGTTACATCGATAAATTCTTTTGCAACTGTCGTCGTTAAAAATCTCATATGAATCTGTCTCTCTCTCTCTCTCGCAATATGTGCTTAATTTTATCTATAAAGAAGGTTCTCTTGTATGTATGTTGAAATATATATTTATTACATCTTATGATTTAAATAAAATACAAGAAAGCTTCTCTTAAAATCATAGAATCGGTAAAACTAGCACTAGATAGACTGGTAAGCGCAAAATACACGTGAATTCTAAGACTTTACAATGCTTATTGTATGCAGGGACTACACTTTGCGTACGTGTTCACGCGCGATTTTTCTCTATCCGTATATGTAAGAAAAAAAATGATAGAGGGACGTATGGCCAATTATCATCATTGATTACCATTCACAAACGCAATGGACTAGTGTGTACATTCTTTTGTCACGTGTCAAAAACACAGTCAGGGAAATATAAAAATAGTATAGAGAATCAAGAGACGGATATGTACTTTGGACATGGTCCCCAGCATTGAATCCTGTTTAACTTTCAACTTTTGTTTATTTATGATTAAACCATGATCTCTCATGCAATTTTCTACCTCCTAATCCTCCAACGTTACATTCTTAAATAGATAGGACATCGACTCTTTGTTGTGTATACGCCGGATTGCCTCCGCTAAGAGAATACTGATATCGACAGTCTTGATTTTCGGGCACTGCATTTTCTGCACGTCATGAGGAACTGTATTGGTTACAACCACCTAGAGAAAATTTGACGAGCAATGTTTTCTTAGTTTCTCATTTGAATATTTTTTTATTGAATCTACTGGAACCCTCAGCACGTACTACGGTGCACTATGCTTGTAAATCCCAGGACACATCAAAGACACAAATAATTTTATTTTACTACAATCACACACAATAGTAAAATAAAACCTTGGACGTGAATATAAGTAGAATACAAGTAGTTTTTTCATTTCAAAACACATTCTCTTTTAAGTAGAGTCGCCACGAATCCTAACGCGAAACTCTGACGAAATTTACCTACCGAATACTTACTGAGGGTACTCAGAAGTCTTTAAATGATCCAAATTATTTGCTATTTCGTTAAGAGAAGATCAAAGCGTGTTTCTACCGTCCGTCTGTTTTGTCGTTAAACTTTTAACCATTGGAACGTCTAGATTCCATTGAATATTTTTGTTGACTTTTCAACACCCATACTCCCACCCATACACACACACACGCGCGCGCGCGCGCAGGAACGCACGTACACACAAGCGATTTAGCAACATTGTTGTTATTATATATATTATTATTATATTGCGTTATTATACCTCGTCGATCGGCGACTCTTCGATAAGTCTAGGAGCATCTGAGCTAAGCAAACCGTGTGTAGCCAAGACATATATTTTACAAGCTCCTCTCTCCTTAAGTACTTCGGCAGCCGCTACATACGATTGTACATCATCTATCATGTCATCCTAGAAATCACACTTTGTCAAGTGCAGAAACGCGACAAGATGCAATACGCTAAAATTTCACTTTACTCACCACCATAATAGCGATACGTCCTCCGACATCCCCAACGACATTTATAGGTGGTTTCTCCTTGGCCGGATGCATTGGCACACCCACACCGACTTCCATAGTACGTGAAGCTAATGCTAACGCGGGCGGTGAGTAGCGACCGTCGTTCATGTCCGATTCAGCCTCCCTCTGTTCTCCATGAATCACTGCAATTCCCAAACGCAATCTCTCGGCATAGCTAGTTGCTTTCTTTGCGCTACCCGGGTTTCTTGCAACGATCACAGAATTATGATAGTCAGGAATCTGACGGGAAAAGAAAACACTATTCTTGTAAAAGAGGAGGCAAAATATAAAATGCAAACTGATGACGGAATCACATGATATTTCGTCACATCAAAGCGAGCGAAAGAGAAATATTGCATTTGGATTGTCGAATCCACAAAGAATTAGGTAACAATTCCAACTTTTGTGCTAGTTGTAGCGTAGTAGTGATAGTATTTGTGATATCACATAAAATATTCTCTCTAAGTAGGAACTTTAATTTGTCGCCGCTGATAAATTATGATTTACTATAACTATTATACGGTAGACGAATTTTGTTGTAGTGAAGAATTTTGCTACGTACGGATTCTTGAATATACTGCAAGAGAAACGGGCTAGCTCTCAGATTGTCTACGGGAACATCGAAGAATCCTTGAATTTCTTTCTGATGTAGATCCATAGTGATTATATGCGTTAGACCGCTTTTGCATAACATCTTCGCTAAAAGCTTGGATACTATGCAACCGCGTTTGCGCATCTTGCATTGCTTGGAGTAAGGTAAGTATGGAATCACTCCGACGATGTTTTTAGCTGACGATGTTTTACAGGCATAGGCCATTATGAGAAGTTCCATTATGTTATTATTCACATCCTTTGTGCCAGTTTGGATTATATACAGGTCTTTGCCACGCACGGAATCTCCTATTTCTACCATTGTCTCACGATTTGACTTGTGATAGACGGCACAACCACCATGTTTTACACCAAGACGACTTTGACCATAGAAAAGAAGAAGATTTCAATGTGTAGACATTTTCTGCATTATTTTTCTTTATCAGATTTCAATTCAGTAAATGTCAACTCTTGATCATAATTATTTACAAGTAGCAAATTGCCTAAAATTTATATTCTTGTCTTATATATCTATTGCAACGCTACAGAATCCTTGATTCAAACTATATTGAGTTTCTGCTATTCAGCTATTGATTTTATAACTGCAACTGAAAATCTTATACATATGATTTATATCTTTAGGAAAGTATAAATTTATGTCACTCATTTTATTCAACTTGTATATTTATGTGCTAAAACATATATATATATATATGTGTGTGTGTGTGTGTGTGTGTGTATATTTGTATGATTTCCAGTGCAAAAAACATAACAGCATACAAACAATTTGGAGAACTAAATTTGTCATATAATTACAAGTCTTATATAGTAATCATGAGAATATATTAAAATGTGAACACCATTGCTGATAAAAATAAAATTACTTAATTATTTTGAGACATAACTTACTTTGCGATGAGGTTAGCAAGTTCTGGGTGAGAATTGCCTGCGATGATAACTATGTCAGATGAGACTGGCTTATCCATTGGTCTTGTTTATTCTGAATTCGTGTGAATGTTAATATCCTTCATAAAAAAAAAAGCAAAACCTTCCTAAAGAGAGAGAGAGAGAGAGACATCACTTTCAAAATTTAAATTTTTTTTACAGTGAAGAGTTTATGCATTACAAAAGTACAAAAAGTTGTAGATTAATGCTGCAATTCTAAGCAAATATACAAGTAAATCGTAAAATCGTAAATTCATAGCTTACGAAAAAAACAAAAAAAATTGTAGATATTTACAAGTTATCATATGACATACAGTCCGCATAGAATTGCAGATCTATTCATAAATTCTTACGAGTCTTACGAAAACAAGTTACGAGTTTTACGATTTTGTCTAGAATTGCAATATAAGTTTATCTTACACGTTTTCTTGCTGAAAGCATCATTCTATCTTTATCGCTCATTATACACCAAAGATCTTCTTTCTAGGATGAATTTAGAGTTTAGAGAGTTGGCGAAACTTTAATAATGGACTAACTCCATAGTTTAAAAATGCAAATAATTTGAAGCAAATGATTTTCATAAAAGATATTTATGTGCGCGCGCTTATCAGATAGTGAAGTAGTAAGTTTCCCTCGATTATCCAACATATCACCAAACATGATATAAAGCCGAGAAACACCCTTGTATTGCAAGAGGTATCTTGTCATAAACAATCAATCAAACCATGGGCTGTATTCTGTATTTACATGCTTACTGACAACTATCAATTCAATATATGTCGTTTTGCGCAGCTACTTTACAACACAATAATAAAAACCGAACCGATAATTATTGGTAAACGTGTACAGAATACAGTTGCATGTATCGTATAAAATATGTGTACATGTACCTGTCGTGAAGTGATTATACCGTGCTTGTCAAGTCGATTAAACTATTTGTTGAGTGACTTCCTCACTCGTTGTTTTAACTTATCTACTCTACTCACAAAACGATAATCGACAAATTTGATTTCAACCGAGTTCACTTGATAAACGACGTTCGGTATCCTCAAACTGCTTCTTCCACTGCCCGGTGTTGATAATACAAATTTCCACACACCTGATGACGAACGACAATAATGGTCTGTTCTTTTCAGCTGCACTGCTGAACTGGTGCAATAAGTTAAAGTGAGACAAGTATATCTTTTCTCACTCTAACTTATTGCGCTAGTTCAGCGGTGAAGCTGAAAAGAACAGAATATAGGTCTGTTCTTTTTAGCTCAACTATTAAACTGGTGCAATCAATGACATAAATAATTGGTCTGTTCTTTTCAGCTGCACTGCTGAACTGTGCGATAAGTTAAAGTGAGACAAATATATGTTTTCTCACTCTAACTTATTGCACCAATTCAGCAGTACAGCTAAAAAGAACAGACCAAATGGCTTGGTTTATATTATGCGCTTGATACGCGTATTAAATAGTAACTTTCTATTAGTTAATTTTAATATCGACAATACATATCAACGGCGACGCATTCAATCAATACGTTTTGTTAATGAGTATTAGGCTGAGTTTCCACAAAGCGCGTCACGCGTCGTGTCGTCTGCCTGCGTCACGAGTTAACCAATCAAATCCTCTAATTAATAACGGATAACGCGACGCACGACGCACTTGTTCCAATGGAACGATTTGATTAGTTAACTCGTGACGCAGGCAGACGACGCGACGCGTAACGCGCTCAGTGGGAACTCATGGCTTCTGCATACAGGATGCGGTAATGCTTGCACGTGGCGGAAGTTCGCGCGACAACCAATCAATATGCTGCTTTCCGTAATAACTTTCTAGCTCTTACGGAAAAACAACATATTGATTGGCGGACTTTCGCCGCGCGGCAAGCATTACCGCGTCCTGTATGCAGGAGCCATCAGTTTTTCTGTGTGCCACGGCTCTAAGTACGGAACGGGACAAAAACGGAAAACATTCTAACCTATCAACATCGAGAATTGTAAAATTTTCGATATTAATAGGTTAGAATGTTTTCCGTTTTTGTTCCGGTCCGTAACAGTTCTGTGCCATGTAAAACCGGGAGCGGTGCACTTGGACACGGTGCATTTGGACACAGCCAATCACAGCACCGTGTGATTAGAGACATTTGTAGGGTCCCTTGGAACCGACTTGTGATTGGACTGTGTCCAATTGCCCCGTGTCCAACTGATATACACCCTGTAGAACCTACTTATCAAACAACAGGGTAGCGATCATGAATCTTTCACGTGAACTTCATTTTCATTTTTCACTTTTCACATGAAAAGTGAACAATGAAAATGTGGAAAGCAATATTTATGTAATATAGATTATTAAAATTAAAATGTAATTATAGTATACACAATGTAATATATAACACATTAATAAGCATTATACAACTTAAATTTATAGTTATAATATAATATAATAATATTATATAAGTAAATTTAATAAACAAGACGAACGTTAACCGTGAAAGATGAATTCTCAAAACGTGAAATATTTCACGTGAACTTTCAATTTGCTCGTATATGTTCTTCTTTACATTAAATTGTGTAAGTTTCCATGAAAATTTTTAAGCATCAAGCGATGTGGTTTAAATGTGGAAAATAATGTAATACGCTCGCATATTATGTACAAAGTGAGTAGAATTTCTTATAGTGACTTTAATTTTTATGGTTATACGACAATTGGCATTTGACATAAGAATCCTACGTCTATTAAAAATGAACAACGAAAGCCATGAAGCGTGATGACATATAGGCAGTGAAAGCATACCGACGAAGTTTGCAAAGTTAAGATACGTATGCATCAGAAAGTTAAAGTGTAATATATTATAAATTGTATGCAGTAAGTAAAATGTAAGTTTATTTTATGTATTTATTGCATGTATTTTATGTATTGTTTTATATGTGAAATATATATTTTCTGCAGATTTATAATTTTAATATGAATAGAATATTTTATCTTTTCATAATTTATCCTAAAGTAATCTCAGGCAAGCAGACTTCCAAGGGACGTTCTAAAGACGTCATATGTCTTAA